GATCCAGCTGAGCCTGTCCTAACCGGTGGTTTAGGTCACTTTACCCTACGTGTGTCAAATAATTGCATTACAAAACTCCTCGGGGCAGGGGAGGGAAGGAAAAGAAAAGAAAAATCAAGGACTAACATACACAAATGTTGCTGGCTAGTCTCTGACTTGTAGCCCCCTCGCAGGTGAGATGGTCCCCGTGCTGTGCGCACCGTGGTGGGAACAGCCTGCCAAGCTGACCTCCAGGAGAGCCCGGAGCCACACTGTGCTGGCCACACGTTTCTCCCCAACAGCCCTTGGGCACCCAGTGGGATGCTCCTGCAATGAATGGTTGACACAGCCCTTAGCAAGGTCTGTTCTCCACTTTTTCTGGCTCTGTGTAGACACCGTGCCAACAAAACCCGTGAGCCCTCCAGCACTGGGCAACAGACCAGCCACCTCCCTTCACGCAGTGGGTGCTCAGCCAGAGTAGGACAGAGGAGGAATGGGAAGGAACAGGCAGCCAAGAGCATGCTTGGAAGATCCAACCCCAAACACCAAGAAAGTCAAAGCTCCCAAACCAAAGCCCCAGGAGAACCCACCTTCACATAGGAGTCGCATGTCCGGTACTCCTTTGCTATCAGACCTTTTGCTTCCATGACTGGAAAGGAAACAAAACAGTCAAGCCCCAAAGCAGCAGGGATGGCATCTTCCTACACTGCGGTGCTCTGCGCCATGGGGTGCCCCGTCCTTGTGGGGCTGAACCCCTCTCTGACCCCGAGAGGATCCTGCGCACACCTCCTCATCAGCCTGGTCTCACTGGGCACCCACAGCCAGGTAAAAGGGTTTATTGTATTTTTTCTTTAATATATACGTGCTATAAATACAAGTTTCTGTGGGTGAGGTTGGTGGCAGATGCAGTTCGGAGTCCGGGTGGCAAATTGCATTTTGTTTGCCTGACTTCACACAGTTCTGGGCTCCCTGCCCCGGAGGCAAATGTATCATCAAGTTAAATATCAACGGCCGCATCCTGACGGCAGCCCTGCCAGCAGGGACTCAGCACCGCACCGCTGCCAACAGTAGGGAGCCGCGCGCTGTCCAGCGGTGTGGCTGGAGGCAGGATCCATGCAGCAGAGTCCGGGTAGCTCAAGACAGGCTGTCGGAGCAAGGCGAAGCTCACTCGTAACATGCTCAGCAAGGTAGCAGTGATTTTGCCTTTGTCAGAGACAGATACGTGTTCCCAAAAAAACAAAGTCAGTCTGACGGAAACCCCAGTGCACAAGGGGAAAGGGGCTCTGCAAGACCCTCTGGTACTCTGCAGAGCAGTTTGCAAGGTTCCTCCATGGCAGGCTCCGCTAAGAGCTTCCTGCTCCAGCCAGACCTGCTTTGGGTTTAAAGATGTTGGGGTGGACAATGAAAAACTAAGATGGATCGCCTCACTTCACCCAGCCGCCTCCTGCTCACAGTGACTACCCTGAATATCCAGCACATGCAGCAGGATGCCAGGTCCCAGGCTTGAGTGACCCTTGCCTCTTTGCTGGACCATTTCCCTCTTCCCAGTCCCTCCACTGGAGACGGCATCAGAATGAAACAGTGACTCACAGCCATCTCACGCTGAGGCTGCTCCAGATGGAGGGATTTGGGGTAAAGCCTGTGCCAGACCCTAAGAACCACACACAGCTTAGAGGGAGCCAAAAAAACCCATGTTTTCCTGCTGGTGGTGGTTTTGGGGGTTTTTTTTGTTTTGTTTTTTTTACAAAGCTTGCCTGCAGAGCTGGAAAAGGGCAGCAAGCTGTTGTGGCTGCCAAGTAGAGAAGAACAAGGGCTGCACGCAGCTCAGCCGTCCCCACAGCCTCACCAGGCTCAGGCCATCCGCTGCCCCCACTTCATTACAATCAGGCAGGGGTGAGGCTGGGCTGTAAGGCGGGATGTTGCTCAACAGAATGTCTTTTCTATCCCCCCTGCCCTACCATGCAGGTCTCTGGGACCGGGGTGCTTTCCCCGCACAAAGGGTAGCCACCTGCAAGAGCACTGGGAGTCCCAGGGCCCTGCTTTCCTTTCCCCCTACAGAGCCCAAATCCGGGGCAGCAACAAGCCTGCTTTGTTCACAGGGAGGAATTTTTACTCTGACCACTTCAAGCTCTCAGTTTTTCCCTTGATCCTTTAACCATTTACTTATCATGAAACCCTGACAAACCCTGGTAGAAAAAACTGTGTGCCAGGAGCCCGGGACACACAGATCCTTTGCTGCAGGAGCAGTCATAAGTGCCTCTATATGTTTTTTTCCTAAAGAAAAGAGCTAGTTCTGACCCTCTCTGCCCTTTCTAATGAACACTATTAAAGCTGCAATGACACAGTCCCCCGCCTCATGGCTGCGACAGAGCCAGTGTCCCAGGTGCTGCATTGCTGTCCTGCACCAGTACCCAGCAGTGGTGGCCTCTGAGTCCCCAGAGAAAAGCATCCCTTGTCCCCAGTGGGACATGCCATGGCTTGAGGGACAACAACCCCAACCTGGACCAGGTGAAATACTTTTGTTGAAGAAATATTGCTGGCGTTAAAAAAATGCAGCATCTGAAGGTAACAGAACGATTTGGAAATCCTGCCAAATGTAGCAAACAGTTTTGGCCAATGTAAAAGACATTTCAGTGGAGACAATGCATTTCAGATTTTCTTTTCCAAATTATATTTGCCTTTTTTCTCTTCACATGGAGTTAAAGAAAAAAAAAAATACAACTGCATGCAAAACACACTGTGGTCACCCAGAAATGAAGGTCTCCAGAAATTTCAGTTTGGCCTCTAAATCAAAGAGCTCCCAGTCACGCCACTCTACCACAGAGCTGTTCCCGACACCTGCCGTGAAGCTCCAAAGAGCTCGAAGAAAGGGCATGGAAGTGCTGTCCCCATCACCAGCCCACCGTGGCTGCGGGGCCACCTCGCCACACGCCCCCGGGAGATACTCACTGTGCAGCACCAGGACCCGTCCCCGCACCTCGATGGACAGCTTCAGCTGGCCTAGGGGAGAGGAGAGAAGGAGGCAGGGCTCACCCACCGCACCGGCACTTGGGAGGGACCCTGCAGTCTGAGGCTTGCACGGGGCCAAACCCACCCTGCTTGCCCACCCCGGGCACGGGGGCATGGCTCAGGGAG